TCCTCGTCTTCATCTTCATCCTCATCTTCATCCTCGTCGTTCCCTTCATCATCTGAACCCGACTCTCCTGCACTCTCCTCACCGAGCTGAACATCTTCGATGCTTCCTTCATTCTCATCCATCTCAACATCCACGTCCTCTTCATCCTCTTCATCACTCTCGCCTTCAACATACTTGGAAACCGCAACTTCTCTCCGAGCACGTCGAGCTTCGCCTTCCTGGGCCCATCTTTCCCTTTGTTCGTCTACTGCTTTCCCAGAGAGTGCAGCGGCGGAAACGAGCGCGGACTCGCCATTTCGTGAGCGCATTTCGATCTGCGCGAGAAGGAGGTCAAGACGGCCATGTAATGCCAGCAGGCGATCTTGGAAAGCAACACGGGATGCAATTGTAGTGTGAAGTTTGGCTAGCCGTTTCACAAGTTGTGGGTCCTACGAAAAATGCTATGTGAGCCCCGGGCCCGATTGACAAGGGTTAGTAAACTCACAGTTAGGAGGTATGATGCGTGTACGATGAGAGTTGCACGTAACCACTTTATCAGCACGCCGCCTCTCTCTGCATCTATTCCTGATCCTTTTGAAAACTTGAAACCCGCCGACCCTATGCCACGATTTAGACGGGATACACATTCCTGAATCAATGGCGCCGCAAATCTGGCTGGCAACTTCCGTATAGTACTTGCAACAACCGAGTCTTCACTGGTATTGAGCACTGTCTCGAGGAGCTCTGAGTCACTGGAATGTAATGCCTGAACGAGTGTCCGAGTGAGGGAGAGCGGGTCAGAGGGCTTTGATATGGATGAATCTCTTGTGCCCTCGGTCACTAAGTCTAAGTCCAGCGTTGACAGGGGCGGAGGGGCGGAGGCAATGGCAAGTTTCTCTCCTAGAGAAAGCTCAGCCATATCACCATCCAGTTCAGCTTCGTTGTTCAGAGCAGCATAAGGGTCTTCTCCGTCTGACACCAATTCGTTCCCTGTGCGAAGAGTTGACTCTTCAGCCTCACGGTACCTTTGGATGGGGATCTACAAGACGCGCACACATCCATAAAAATAATAATGTTTGTCTCGAGTGAGAAATGCTTACCCCGGAATCTTCCTCCGCCTGCGTGGGGTTAGAAAGGGGAGCTTCGAGTTCGATTTGGGGAATGTAATTCCCATCGTCGTCGAGGAAATGCTGGGGATGGCATTCTAAGTTTGTTCGGATAATCTCTAACGACGGGACGTACTATGGAAGTGAATACTGGTCGTGTGCCTCTGATATAACGGGCAATGCGTATTACCGGGGCTTCTTTGTTACTGGCGGCAAAGCCTGCCGTGGCCACCAAAGGCTCAGAAGGTCCGGTGACAATGGTCGAGCCTACACTGAGGTTGATTGGGGGCGCCTGCTTCTTTGAGAGCGATGATACAATAGTGGTAGGTATCGGGTAGACATGGAGAGACCCTGATGCTGAAAGAACCAGTAGAGATATGGATGACGAAGTCTTGGAAAATTCGATGAACCGCACATCGGTGTCAAGAGGAATGGAAGCTATTAATCTTCCCTCTTTGATACTAAAGGACGACGAACTGTCGCGGTCATCCAGGTCACCTAGCGCAGGGATTTGCCAAATCGAAACGAAGCGGTCACCCTCTGCAATCGAGGCAAGTATTTGAGAATCCGATTCGCTGTCGGAATGGGAGAGGGAAATCCATCGAAGACACAAAAGGCGGGAAGCATGTCCAATGAATGTGGCAAGTTCGCGCAACTGACTGGGTTGAGAGGATTGATCTTCGTCATCTGTCTCCCTTGCGAGGCGCACGATTTTAATGGAATTATACCCTACGAATAAGGTATCCACATGGCTGCTCTTCGAAGAGAAGTGGGTTATAGAGGAGTAAGGTGTGCGACCAGTCCCAGTGGCCCCAAGATGTGAGGAACAACTGTTGATCAATTGCCCACTCTTGAGACTCCACGCGTTGAGGATCCCATCCTGGCCCGACGTCCAAATCATCTCATCCCTATGTTTGCTTTCGGGAATCGCTATAGAGAGGATGCTAGACGTGGACCTCGGACTCGACAACGAATGCGTAACTTCACTCGAGTAAGGCGAAAAAATTGTAATGTCCCCGGAAGAGAAGCCAATTACCAAAGATTGTTGCTGAATTGAACTAGCCTCCTGGGCTTCCGAAGCTGTCTCGCTATTTCGCTTCTTTCTGCTCTTGTGGCCCCGTCGGTGTTCCGGGGGCTTAATCCATTGCATACAGGTGACACGAGCATCCTTGAAGATTTTCTCCGACACGACCTTTTCAGTGGAAGTGCTAAACACGCGTAACCGATGTTTGTCGACCGCGAGTGAGATATGTGCAAAGAGGTCACCCGAGGGGGAAAATGAGGAAAAAGACGCTACCGAGGCTGCTTCTACGATGACCGGTTCGAGCCGAGCACGCGGGCGTATTCGCTTCTTTTTAGGCTGTGGATCTTGCTTACTCTTCTTCGATAACGAGGGCGGCATTGTTTTCGCGAGTTTTTTTGGATTTTTGGGTTGAGTGTGGGCCGGAGAGCGCCGGTGTAAGTACGCGCGACGATGACAATAGACATCAACACAGCTGAATTTCATATTCTCAACGTCACCATCTTGCTGTCGGCTCCAATAATGTGGAGTCCTTTCTCCTATAAAGCTGGCGAGATGGGGGCATCCTTAGGTTCTCCTTCTCTAAAGACGTGTTGCACATATGATTTCCGTCACTTCCAGCGCTGAGAATCTTTTCTCCACCTTGTTGAATATCCTTTTTCGCCTTGTTCATGGCGTCCTGGACGTGCTCCAATCTGGTCTCATTGTAATACAAGCCATGGTTTCGTCCGCACTGGAGGTTGTGGCTGGGCTTCTCCACTCGGCTGCTAAATTGCTGACTGGCACGGCAGCCTTTATTACAGGCGAGTGATCTTGCTCTGTTGTTCTGTGCACTCCCCTCAACCAGTCTTACATTGTAATGCAGGCAATATCGTTGGAATACTGGTCCTCCTTTCCATTTATATTGGATACCAGAAATTTTATGCCAAGGAACAGAGAGGGAGGAGGCTCAAGTAAGAGAAACGAATCCGCTTGATCACATTGGAATCCTCCGAATGCGCCTCGATTGTTCCCCATGTACTAGCTGACCCTTAATAATGTCTCACCCATCATTGTATATGTCAATTCACGTCTGCCCCAGTTTTCCAGAAGCCGAGCTCAACAAACCATGACCGCCATTCATCACGTTTAGTTGGGTCGTTGCACTCTTCCAGAGGAGCAATGGCGCCTGTCCTACCCAGATACGTGCCTGACGACAACGTGGTATCAACCATACCACGGAGAATAGTGTTGGCGGCTAAGAAGTGGCAGCCTTAAAACGCGGCATATAGTGAACAACAAAGACCGATGCTTACCAACGGGTAACGGGGTAGTGAATGGGAATAGGGTCAAAACATACCTCCCGATTAGCTGCAGGATCCATGGCCACTCTCGTGCCAACTTGGTCTCAGGAACGAAGCCTGGTCGTTGTGGAATCCATGAGATTGAAGGACAACATCGCACAACTACAACTTACCAGGAGAGATTGCCACCACAGAGGGCTTGTTCCCTTCAGAAGGCCAGCGACGATTAATTTCATCCTTCAAAATAAAGAATAGATGCATTTGGACGAGCTTCGATAGACCGTAGGCGTTTCGTCCTTCCCATTTGCTCCCTGAGAGTAGGTCCTCGATTGTGGAGGGTGCCACGACCGCTGGCAGGGTTATCATCTATTCGGCTCGGTACGGGGCGAATGGAGCAATTCGTACTTTTCGCAGGCACTTTGTGTTTCTCTGAACCCACCAGTACGATGCGGCCATCATCCGCCATTACGTGCAACAAACGCTTCAATAGAACAGCTTGGCTAAGCGTGTTGACGAAAAGGGTACTCTCGAATTCTCTGTTGTCTGGGAGTTTGACGGTCTTTCGAACGTTGCGTACGACAATCCCAGCGTTCAGCACCAGAATATCAATTTTCTTGTTAGGTTTGACGATATTGGACAAGACATCTTGCGCAAAGCGTTCGATAGAGTCGAGCGAAGCCAGGTCGAGTGGCAGCAAATGTGCCTTAACGTCGAGCGGCGACGGTGATGATTGCCGAACACTCTCAAAATGAGCTTGTAACGCTCCGTCGGAAGTCGATCGTGCACCGATGTATACTTCATAGTTGAACCGAGGAGTAGCTTCAAAATTTGTCGGGGCGTTTTCAATGAGTTTCCCCAGAGCTGCAAGGCCCAATCCAGCCGTGCCTCCGGTGAAAACTACGAGTTTAGACACAGGGTCCATATGTGATGCCAAGCTAGGGCAGGAGGAGATTCGATAGTGCAAAGCTCAAGAAGCTCCTGAGGGATTCTGCGTACGCAACGTAGAAATGCAGAGAGACACTGGTGCCGATGGAAGCTCGAAGTAGGCAGGAAAGTGCGTAAGCCTTCTTCGGCGGGATTATACATGTCGCGTGCTCGAACTTTCGGATGGTCTTAAAAGCTTATAGCGTGGCTAATACCGAATGGTATTATTAATTTTCCCATGAACCAGGACAAAGATCAGATCATACCTGGATGCGTTCCAACGGCTGCTGACGTGAGAAATTCTCATCTCCCGGCCTGATGAGGCAAGTACCCGCTACTCTTTCATTATCGTTAGTCCTTCGGCAGGGTTGGGTTCAGCGATAGGTTCAAGTTGAAATAAGATCCCGGGAATTCCAACCTCGGTTAGCCAAAGTAACACTTTTTTGGGCAGACTGAATTACATAGTTTCCTTTGACCGAGCTTGCGAGGCATTTGTTTACAGTGGGGGTTCGTTTTTTTTCTGTGGGAAAGCGCGTTGTGGAGTTTGCGCATCGTCACTTCATCGGATCCAAACGCACATCTCAACCAGCTGCTGCAAGCTCGGCCATCCAGTTTGAGGGGAACCCTCACAACTATACTTATTGTCCTCATCACCCATTCTGAAGTCCATAACTGACCCGAAGCGCAACAACCTCGCCGCACAGCGTCCCTCGTTGCCAAAGTCGTCTCCTGTCAGTTCCCATGGAACCTAATCACCGAGCAATCCCAACACACTCGGAGGACTCGAAGGATGAGATCAGCTTGGAGAGCCGCAAATATTTCCATGTCAATGATTTGCCTGTGGAACTCTTGCGGGAAATATTCGTTACCTTGAAAGCTGATTGGGATGGGCACTATTCTTCTGATGGTTGCACCGTGGCTCATGTGATAACAAAGATTTGTCACTTCTGGCGCTTCGTAGCACTGAACGAACCTCGACTATGGGCAACGCTCATCATTGGATCCGAAGGTGGGAGTGGAGAAGGGAGGTTGCAGCGGTTTTCAGACTGCTTGGAGAGATCCAAAGGCGTGCACCTGGAACTAATGGTGAACTTCACGAGACAGCCCAGTGCGCAATTTCGCAGACGTGTGAAGGAGATCGCAACACCCCATCTTAATCGTTGCACCTCGTTGCACCTTATCGATTGCCTTCCAAACGACTGGATCCCACTTCCCAACGAACTGAAATCGCTGAGAGATGTAGTGCTATGTTTGGATCTTGCGTTCCCACAGCCTCTTCACCAAATCCTGGATTTGGGTTTACCAACCCGCTTACGTTATCTTAAACTTTCTACCCTGAGTCTACACATTCCAGCATTCGCTTTGAATTCCGTGATGGAGCATTTATCGGTGTCGTTGAACCACCGTAATATCAGTATAGTCGCCAATCTCCTACGCGATGTTGAACCTTTGAAGACTCTGGAGTTCGAGCTTGTGACTTTCCCAAGCGTGGACCTTTCAGCCATCTTCCCTCATTCGTTCCCCCAGCTTGAGAATCTCATCCTCCGTGGTGGTGGGAGAGTTTCCTCTCCCATCGTGGCCCCGCGTCTTAAACACCTATATTACCAAGCACCACGAAGTTTGCACCACTCTTCACTCGACACAATAAACAGTGATATTCTGAAGGGCCTCATCTCCTTAGAGGTTAGAACATATAACCTGCCGCGATCTAACCCCCTGCGGGATTGCCTCGTTCATTGTCACGCGCTGGAATGCCTAGGAGCTTACGTCGTAATGGACGATGGTATCAGGTTGCTGGAATCCCTACTTTCAACTGCGAGACCGCCAAGTCCAGATCTCCTGCATCTCTCGGCATACCACTGTCCCAATCTCCAGAGAATGATGTTCTCGATCTATCTAGGACCTGATCCTCAAGCAATTAAATGTATTTCTAATCGCACCCTTGAACTCCTTGCCCTCCGACCGCGGCTCTCAAAGGTTGAAATCAAGATCCGCATAGGAACCGGGGCGGCACCCGAGTTGAATCTATCTCCCCTTACTAAGGATCTTCCGGAAGCCTTCCCAGCCAGAGTGGTTGTTTGGGGCCCTGATGTAACATGTATTTTCTCCGACCCGCCAACCGACCCGCCAACCTTTTTAAACCACATGAATGGATATCCCCACACCCTTCTGGTTTAGCGTCGAGCGCACCAGTCGTTTCATCGTGCGCGAGATGTTCAACACCCACTTGTCTTGCTTCACAAGTTGCCACACAACGTCTAATGATTGTAAACGGCTGATCGCCTCTTGTAACTGTACTTGTACATATGAAGTTGGAAGAGATATCTCATCCAAGTTAAAAGCCATTCCCAGCAGCAGAGGTTCCCATCTCAGGGGTCCCCCTACATTTCGGCATGGACAGAGAATCTCCTGTCTTTGCTTTTCCTTCAAATCAGTTTTGCTGTTGACACCATGTCGACGCACGCTCGCCACGGAGCTAGCACAGTGCGATCGCTGCAATTCCATCCCTTGTATTAAGTACAACTGGTGGGCGCCGCCTGACGCGGCCGAACCTCCCACTCTTCTCGCTGCAACCTCGAACCATCGTTTGGGCGGAAAGGAATAGAAACGAGGTATGTACACTGGAATATTTCCTCTGATGACTCGTCATTCAATCGTATCGGATCAATCATCGAGCCAACAACTTCAGCTCCTAGGTCGGGTTTTCCGTTCTCGTTGGGGATTTTTACGTGTACTTGTAACCACCACATTGGGGCGGATTCGAAGATTCGGGTGATATATCAGTTTGCAAAAACCAGGATTTAGTGGAGAGCGTGGAGTTCTGCCAGTAGAATGATTCCCCCTCCTGGCGTTCTTGCGCCCAGAAAACAGATTCGAGATCATGGCACGAGGACGACCCCCTAATGATGTCAGCTCCGATGCTAGGAACGGAGGTCTGATGGGTAGGGGAGAAGCCAGCTCCAGCCCCAATCGCGAACCCAAAATCAATCGGAGATATGCCTTATATTGAAAAATTCTGGGTTAGTTGCAACTCGCCATCAACCAAAGCACGATATGCCACTGAAGTCTTCAAAACGTGATCGGAGGCCGTCGTGGGGCCAAGACCATTGCGCGAAGGATGCGATTGCTGTTCCCCGTTTACAAGAGGTTGGACTCAACCACGGGCTCCAGCAGCGAGCGAATCAAGATCATTCTGGTTGAACATTTCAGACGTTAGTACTTAACGCCTTTTTCCCTTGATGAACTTCAGCAGCTCAACCTCCGCGATTAGCTGCCAGAGAGCTTTACAACCTCGACTGTAGCAGCTTCGCGCTGTTTGACCTCTCCGACGGCCCAAACCATTGTTCCTCCGAAATGCGCCACCCCTTTATGCTTCTTCCTCTTCTGATTTTCTCTCCTCTTGTGACACGGGTCTTCCCCTTGACCAAGAAGTAAGCCCTGTCCGCAGACCGCACAACTTCTCCCGGCCCTAGTCCCCGTGTGGTTCGTCACATCATTCACCGGATGACGGATGTATGAACGGCTCGAATCTGAGCTGGGCAGGAGTAGCATTCCCCAGTATTAACATTCCTGAAGTTCTCTCCAAATGGTATAGGAATGCTCCTGTAGAGACCTGAACGGTTCAAGTACCGAGGCTCAAAGTTCGTGCCTTCTATAAAATGTCCAAGTAAGTGCCGCCTGAGACCGCTTGCGGGAAAGAGCTCTGCGGCATATCCTGCAAGCTGAGCTCGATCCGGGGGCGTTTCCCCAGTAGTATGCATTGACGTTGTATACGAGATGCCATAGTTCGAAAACCCTTCGGACATGCTCACTTGGGTCGAACACATCCACCGCATCGATGTGGCTTCTGTCCTCAGAGAGCCTCGACAAGGCTCCCAAAGTCAATGTTTTCACACCGATTACTGAAGTCTTCAGATTTAGGCTGCAAGCATGCGTAAGTCGCATCATTGAGATCAGAATGGGAGGAAATGTTGAGCATCCCGATATTGAAACTCGAGATCTAGAGCTAGTTCAACCGAAGAATCACAGCTGATACTAGCTACTTGCGACAGAGAACCGTGCGGGGGGGCGAAAAGGACCTGGGCTGAGTTTCCGTGCACGGACTCACGAAGACGCTTTCATCCTATCCAGCTCATTGCATATGGAATGATGACCAGCAACAAGCTACTCAGAATTTAGCAAATTACGGATGAGGTATCCCTGCCACCATGACCACAAGGGGACAGCGCGCGGATGATACTGGCCCAGGGCATCGTGCGGAGGGGGTGGAGTTAAGAAATGAGTTCGAGACTCGTATCCGGCCCATGGATCTATGTATTAGGCACTGAGACGAAATCATCGCCGGAAGCCCGCAAACATGAACGCAGAGCAACCAGATGAAATAGTCTGTGGCTCCTTGCTGCGCGATGAAAGGCTTCTAGACGGTAGCAGGGTGCCATTTTTTGACCTTACTGAACCTGGTTTAGTCTAATATCTTACAAACGGGTAAATTGTAGTCACGATCGTCAACTTTTCAACCAAAACATTTCTCCTGGAACTTGGAATCATACCAAGATTGTCAGCGAGTATACGATAAACTTGCCCCAATAATTCTTGATTCGAGGGTTCTTCATATAAATCCTGGTTCGGCTTTTTGCTGGACTTGGGCAACACATGCTCTGGAAAGAGTCTGTGTGTGTCCTCCTTGAAGGGATCATTAAACATGGCTCTTTCCTCAGCTGCCATTTGACGATTGAACCGCGCAACCCAGTACCTGCGTAGCGCTTCAGCAAAATTCCTGTACTGTCTGTGAAGGGGAGCCCCCGCGAGAAGGGTTGCCGTTTCTGTTACAGCCTTGGAAGCACGACAATTACCTGGGTCCTTGAACCATGAAGACAAAAGACGGGGACTGATGGTGAGAATTTCATCATCGTCTCCTTTGTCCATGCAGATGCAGATGTAAATGAGACACCAGGCAAAAGACTCCGAATCGTGTTGGTACAGACGTAAAACCGAGCCAATAATTGCTTTTTCACTGAGGAGATCTAGGGCCATGAACGGCATAGTTCCAGTGTTGTCCTTCCCGCTCAGTTCCTTCTGTTTGCCCAATCGAGCTAGGTCGAAGTCGACAAGAACCCCGCATTTCGTATCGGGCTTGTACATCAAGTTTCGTGTGCTGATGTCCCCATGGCAGATATTCCTTTCCCACAATGCCCAATGACCTGCTGCAAATGAATGCTGAGGGATAACACAAAAAACGAAAACACGACGTACAGAAGAAACAGTCCAAATATGCGATTAGCATGTGTTCCCCATCTAGACGCTTGAGCTCCCCCAGACGGTCAAGTATGACGAAACGAAGCGCTCGCACCCTGGTCGTGTCCAGATCCAGAAACTTCCGGATGAACCCCATCGAACACGTTACATAGGGAAGGTCTGTGTTGCTCTACGTCGTGGGGATGTGATCCTTCACTAGGCTGTTGGTTTCACCAATTTGCCTCGCCCGCTCAATAACATTCACCTCACTAGTCCGCGTTTCCTCTGGCCAGGAAGCCTTGGCGACCAAGTCGTTAGCTTCCTGAATATCCAAAGTACTCAGATTCAAACCGTCAGCCTTCCTGACCCCAGCTACAACGGTCGAACGGCCCGTCAGATTGACCCCACCATAGATAAGATCATCATTGGGGAGGGTATGGATCGTAGTATCCTGGATGAGGGTGGTTTTGAAGACTGAATCCTTGGACCGTCGTTCGGGACAGATACTCGACCCCTCGAACGCAGTAAAGAAACCCCAGTGTGCTAGATCGAACCTTTGCATAATGAGTAGGACCAAAAGGAAGTGAGGCAGGTCATCGACGATATTGAAGCCCCCCGTTCGAATAACACTCTGCCTGTCTGACCATGTAATGTATATTTGGCTCCCTAAAACATTAAAGCCTGAGTTACACTCGACGAGATTTACGGGGTTGAATTTCACCGTGTAAAATGAAGTTAATAGCGTGAGTGATGTCAACGGAGCAGGAGAGCCTCCCTGCAGCGTAGACCCCATTCTGAATGTCGACTAGCGGGACCGCCGGAGGTTTGGAACTTCCTGCAGCATCCTTCTCAGTCTTCGATCGTTTTGTCGTATTGTGGTCATTGAGCGCTTCTGTCTTGGGCTTCATGCCATGAGGGTGTGCCCATTCCGAGATACGTTCCGGCGTGATTGGGCCCTTTCTCGCGGCCACCCTATCCGATTCCCTGGAGCCATCTGCCCAGGAAAATAAGTAACAGATCCCTACCGAGAGGTGCGCACTCGCATTTTAATTTGGGTTGCATCCGTCTAATAGATGAGAGGTCATCATCGAACGGGGTACACGGCTCTGATTCCTTGAGGTCTTCGAACTTGTTGTTGAATGTCCTCATCGGGTTGACTTGCATCGGTAACCTGTCAGGTTTCACTTCTACTGTTGATCGAACCTTTTTCCATGCCAGCTCTAGGTTTTTAGAGCTTGCGGTACACGTGTGCGTCCTGAAAGTGCAGGAGTAGGTATCGTAAGCCTTGCAGGCTAGGCGTCTAAAGAATTCCCATTGAAGTAGGACAATATCTGGTCTAGTCCGGCAATCCCGGCTAAAATCGAGGGACTTCACCATGTGGTTATGGTTGCAATCTGCTTGTCGGCAGAGTGCTGAGGCAATCCTTTGATATCGATTTTCGAAAGCTGATCTAGGGCATAGTTAGAAGCGATTACGAATGGATCGCACATTTCTGCCTCTGTCCCGGCTTTGAGGCTTAGAGTGAGTTAGTCCCATGCCTAAGGAGTCATGGCCGCACTTACAACTTGGAGAGCTCAGTCCTCAGCGTGGTTCCTTCCTGGTTTGCTACTTCCTTCACCTTCTCAAAGGCAGATGATAGCACCTGCTCATCACGAGCGGAGACAACTTTGCCCTTTCCCGACAGGCAGAACGCGAGCAAAAAGTCGATCATGTCGACCACTTTGCATTTCTGGGTACTCTCCAAGTCAACACGAATGGGCTCTTCCATTTCTCCCGCCCTGACGTCGTGTTACCGCCGGGGGGGCAAAACGAAAGAGGGATGTCACACCGATAGGATTTCAAAGTTCCAGTAAGCAAACGAGATTGACTGGCCGAACTCAAGCTGGGCCTTGATCCACTGCGAATAGGAGTTTTCTGAATCCCTTTGGCAGTATTGGCGGTTTCCCCCTCATTCTGTTCTTCTTGAGGTACACTCATTGAGTGGAACTGCTCTAGCTATGATATCTCGCTCGGTATGTTGTCGGAAACAACAGAAACCAACAAATTGGGCCAACTCCGGACACCCCAGTTTCCATACGGCCACAGATTGGTTTAACGGCTAAGAGATGTTTAAGCACATAAGCCAAGGTTGAATATCACTTCGCATGGAACATATATGGGACATGTCAGCGAACAATCATCGCGATGTTGCATTGTTGCGATGTCCACTCGATCAAACTTGTCGGTTGTTGGTCCAAATACAGATGCATCATTCCCGGGTTGAAAAATAAGAATGTACAGGTTGAAATGTAAGGGTGCATTATTAATAAGACACGTTCAAAGCGGGTCCACTGAAGAGTGGGCACGTAGTTCAATATTCGGCAGGCTAAAACTAGGGGTATCGCAGTTAGACGAACGCGGACTTGGATGATCTTTAGAGGTGCACGAGAGGATAAGTCTCCTAGTGGGCAGGTAAGGCAGAATCTTGAATGAACGAACCTGGAAGCTCACCGGCATGGTAAACGAAGCAGTTGGGAACCAGCAGCTGTTTTCTCCAGTTCTCGGCATAGTACCAGGCTGCTTCAATGAGGGGATCAGCGCCACCCGAGCCCAATTCTCCCGCTGGAATTGGTTTGGACTTCCAAGACAGGAAGTGGGAAAACAATCATTACGCTGGCATCCGCTATTGCACGGACACTGATGAATGGATGTGGTTATATCCAACTCGTGCGTTGATGGATGATCAGGTAAGGTTACCATACATACAGCTAGTCTCATTATTGTACCATAAGAGTGGAATGCCCGATCAAAAGGAATGCGCTTTCTTGCTATTCATGACAAAGCATTGCGCC